AGTCTTACATTACATTATCATTACACTTTTCTGCTGACTAAAAAGTAGACCCACAACATGCATGCCATAAAACATCCTCTTATCAAGAGAGTACAGAATAGCACTGTCCTGAATTAGCAAGACTACCTACCTTCTGGGTAACTAATTTTCCTGAATTACTGAACTCTGTTTATTCAGTTCATACACTTTTACATTCAAGACTTCCTTCCAGGAGAAAGGGACAACTCCTATGTGTATGTACCAAATTGTCCAGATGGCGCACAGACACAAAACTAGCCTTGCAAGACTCAAGCCTTCCGGGAAATTAATATTCTCGTAAACTGACATCAAAGCAAATGTAATTCTGTACATTACATAACTGGAGTGGAAATATTTCCTTACCTTTACAAGGTTAGTCACAGCTCTGCTAACAGCCATGACAGGGCGTTCCAGATCAGGCATTGCATTGCCATCTTCAGCTTCTTCATGTAAGATGACTAACCGTGACACCTGCAAATTTAAATGTTGAGTTTTTATTTCAACAAGGTAAGCAAGGTAGTATTAAGTGAGACTTCAGGTTCTCATGGGACAAAGGATGAAGATGGATGATCACTATAACCCTATACGTCCTTCTACTTCCCAGCATCACCACTTCAGACATGAAAATGAAAGCAGTATGTTTCTCCCAAACATTGGTATCTACCTACAAAACTACAAGGCATGACAACTCAGATCATCATCAGGAGATTCATATTGTACTCTTTGAGAAATAATATTAGGGTTATTAAATCAAGTGGAATGGGGCAGGCATAGCATTTAGCATGTATGGGATAGATAAGAAATGTATACAAAATTATAGTATAAAAACCTATGGTGAAGAGACCACTTAGACTTAGGCATAGATGGGGAATAATATTAAACTGCATCTTAAAAGAAATAGGGTGTGAAGGTATGGATAAGATTCATCTGACTCAGGACAGAAACCTGTGGCAAGTTCTTCTGAAAACAGGAACTGATTTTTAGATTCAAAAAAAGAAGAGGCCTGATATTGCAAACTGTATTTTAGCACATATGCTTACAATAATTTCACTGTGCGAAAGAAATGATGCACTTGCTTGTTAGATAAAGGCTGATGTAATCCAACTGTCAGTTTTTTTGACTGCTTATTGCAGTGTTTTGGTCCTGCAGGTAAATTTAATTTGTTCATTGAACAGTTCCGTTTACTGTAATTGCTATCAGTGAAATTAATAAATATGTCTGAGCCACAGCACTTGTGAAAATAAGATCAGAAAAGTGCAGGATGTTTGCACAGTATCTATCCTCCACATAACTAAACAGAAATAACAAAGATCACATTTAATGAACAGTATTCATACTATTAGAGTGATCAAGTAAATGAGCAGTGCTGGACATACCATAACAACAAAATTCTTAGTTTATACTCAGTGCTATTGCACAGTTCAATGAAATCATTATAGTAGCACAGACTTATAGCTCAGAAAGGTAAAACAAGAAAAACAAATGTAAACTGTGATGTTCTTCTGGATTTTGGTGCTGTGAAAACCTAAACTCTCACAAAGTAAGCTGTGGTCTACCGGGTCATAACACCATGCAGTCTTGGGGGTAGTTACCAACATTTAAGAAAATGTTTTTATCACCTCCATCTTCAAAGTAACTACCTACAAGACCCACGGCTTTACAAACGCCACAAAAACCTCAAATATCATACAATAAAGCATGAGTTCTAGTTGTGTCACCACTTCAGAAGCAGCCACTTGAAGAGAAACAGAACTGTCAGACATTATTAAACTGTCTTGCAGATGTAGACTGCAAAGATAGATGAATTATGGACTTAGGATGGGTGCAAAACATGGTCTCTCACTCTGAGGGAGGAACATAGATTGCAGGTGTTTGAGAATAGGGTGTCGAGAAGGATATTTGGGCCTAGGAGAGAAGACGATGGGGTCTGGAGAAAACTACATAATGACGAACTGAAAAATTTGTACTACTCCCCCAGTATTGTCAGGGTGATTAAATCGAGGAAAATGAGATGGGCAGGACATGTAGCGTGCATGGTTGGGACAAGAGGTGTACACCAGGTGTTCGTTGGGAAGCCTGAGGGGAGGAGACCACTGGGGAGACCTAGACGTAGATGGGAGGATAATGTCTGGCAGGATCTAAGGAGATAGGGGTTGAAAGAGACTGGATTTTGTTGGCCCAGGACAGGGTCCGGAGGAGAGCTTTGGTTAATTCGGTGATGAACCTTCTGGTTGGGTAAGCCATCTAGTTAGTTAGTTAGGGTTCTAAGACCTTACTGGGTCTGGTGTGCTTTGGTACTAGCTGCTTTGATTTTTTTGTATGTCATTACCAGAAAGTTACTTTCCATATTATAAGAAACTAATCCAATCTAACCTCAAGAAGGAAATGCCCATCATATTCACAAAAATGAATCTCCTTCATACATGACAAAAAAATGTATGTATGTGTAGTTCAACAAAATATGAGGGCGTAGTCCACAACATTGTCAGCTGTCATGGAACTAGCAACATAATTCTGTTACAGACAAAAATTTGCTTGTTGTATTGCCCCATCATGTCTATATATGGCAATGCAGCTCATGTGACGTCACGGTCTTTATTCTGTGACGTTAAGTCACGTGATATCAACGCCAACACTATTTGTCAGAATTCAAGCGACACGCCCATTCGTAGCTCAATGTTAACATGTAAATACCGTTTCATGAAAACACACACTTAAAATAATATAAATAGCATACACATTTAATATGACTTTCGAACATTTAATTAAATACCCCAGACATGTGCGTGTACCGTAACTGACGATGACGAAAGAATATTTAATCAAAAACACTATATTAAAGTAAAACTGAAATTATTTTCTTCAAAAATCCCTTACCTGCTGTGCCACTGGTTCTAAAATACTTTCGATAGTCTTTGTGTGAAAAACAGGCATTTTGAATGTTTCAAAATCAAAAACCAAGTCAACGACAGGTATTTACACCGCCTCAATCAATTAACGATCACAACCCAACACTACATCCACCACGACCAGTTCAGAACAAAAATTAACCAGAAATAACCTTAATTCATTACTCTGGCCATAGAGCGCACACTATTTACAAAGTAATCAATGTAGCCAACATACATGTAAGATATTCAGTTTGGTCACAGACTAAAAGTCACTAGGCAGATATATTGCCATCTCTATTCGAGCACTATCAAATTTCTGAAGAGGGTAGTTGCAGCAGTAGTCCAATCGGCAAAAAGTTTACTAATTCTTGTATGTAGGTTTTCGCGCCAGGAGTTCAATGTACAAGGGCTTTCGAGTGACAGCCACGTCGGGTATTTGATGTCAACCAACGTTTCGGCAAACATTACAGTTGCCATTTTCAGGGCGGATGAAAGGGGGTCATCTGTGAAAGCCTTGTATAGGGCAGACATTAGGTGCGAGATGACTTCGCTGCTACTGATTGGTGGAGCGAAGGAGCTAGCTGCTATCCAATGGGAGAGGAATGGAAGTTTCAGGAAAATTGGGAAGAGGTTTTGGTGGTCTCCAAAATCTCTTATCGCCACCAACCAGCACCTGTGAATTCATTGTGCACCCACTGCCTGCTCTATATAAGGTCTTCTGAAATGACCCCACCTAATCCTTGAAAATAGCAACTTCAGTGTTTGCCAAAAGTTGGTTGACGCCAAGTATCTGATATGGCTCTCACCTGAAAGCCAAAGTTATACAAGATTTACTAATATTCAACCTCCCAAACTGTGTTCCATCAATCTTTAACAGAGATAATCAACATCAATTACCAGAATCCATGTTTGACAGACAGTATTAGATCCATGTTTAGTGGATCACAATGGCATGGGGGATTGTTAAGTTGCAGTATTTTGTTTCTGCAATTCTTTCCACAAAGCAGCATACAGAAATTAAAATCATTGCATTTAATGGATGTCTGTGTGTAATTAATACCTCAAAATGATCGCCAACCAACCAATATTGTTTATTATACAAAAAGATGATAACTTAAAGAATAAACTCTATGAAAAGAAGTATAGTAACCCAGTATCTGAGGAAAAGTGTGTGATATGTAGAAAAACTGAGAGCTCACGTAGATTAGTATATGACATTTGGTCTCAGAAATGTATGCTCTTCAAAGGTCTGTGTTATTGCATATTACCCACAATTTATGTTAAAAAATACAATGTCTTCTTAATTGCATTTATTTGTATTGGTTATATCTAGGGTCTAGATCACCCCACAAGCTGCACAAGACACTCATATGCAAATAAGTACAATGTATGAGGGCTGTTCACAACACAATACAACACAGAGAAGTTACACCTCAGAATACAAAATGTCCTTCACTATGTAATAGTTGCACAACCCTCTCACTTTAACAATGAACTCGGGGAAATTAGCACTAAATACTGAATTGAAACTTTACAAGATATATGAAAACCCACAGTCTTACCATCATATCTTTGCCAGACATGCCAACATCACAGATTTCTGTCTTATGGGTTGTTGCACTGTGAAGTCTGGTCAATGTTAACCAACGTTTCAGAGGTCATATTCATCGCCCTGATGACAGAGGCAGTATGACCTCTGAAACGTTGGTTAACATCGACCAGACTACACAGCGCAACAACCCAGAAGACTGAAATCTTCATACTCACCGCTGTGAAAACCTCAAATCTTACATGCTGACATTACATATCTCCAGATAAAAAGTCTGTCCAATAAACAATCTGCTGATACAAGTACAAATTTTTTTCTTACAATTTAGAAAAAATTAAAAAAAAAGTCCTCAAATTAATAAAGTACAATAAATAGGTAGGTTTTCAACAATTGTGAATAATATCAAATACTAATATTATCTATTTCAGTATAAAAAAAGTACAGAAATGTTGTTGAAGAAATGTAAGAATAGTCTGACATATACATTGTAGAGAACATTCATTATACACTATCAAATACATTATGGCACAGGGCTCTTACTAATTTACTTTGTGCAAGTGAAACATCTTGAATTAGGGAAAAAGGTTTGCTGGAGGTAGTTTTCAAAAAGAGAAAATGTGCATACTACTGTAATTAATCATACCAAGTTTAGAATATTGACTATATTACTCAATGGAAAATACAGGAGTAGTTGTGGGATGGGGTGGAATGTATAAAAACTAAGGCTATGTTCACTCATAACACTCTCATAATAGCAAAATGAGAAATAACATGGCAGTCAGAACACTCTATAACTTAGAAAGTGGTATAAAATTGTGAAACTGTCCTACATATAATGGATTACAATATACAGTTTTGGCACACAAAACATGGACTGATGTGAAGAATATGTATCACTCTTCCAGCACTTCACAGCACTTAAGATACACATGTGCGATAGTACTCCGATCTTGAATTAATGTTTTTGTGAGCAGTCGCTATTCTTCTATTCAAATCATCTATTGTGTTTAATAAGTCATTCAGGATATCTTGATTGCTCTCGTAGTCACTTTTCATACCTGAAATATGGATACATATCTAGTAACTCAAGCAACAAGACATAAATTAACATGATACTGTGGAAAAATGGATATTATTAGGAAGATAGAATCAAAGTATAATATGGGTGGGGCATGAAGCACACAAGTGAGAAATGCATACATTTTACTCTCAAAATGTGAAGGAAAGAGACTATTTGGGAGATCTATAATTTGAATGGGGTCTTCAGGTTAGCATTTTTGTACAAAGAATTAACTTACTTAAGAGCTCTTTGTGCTTGGCTGCGGTGCTGTGAAACAATTTACTTGCTCTCTCCAGAAGGTCTGACGCCTTCGTTTGATCTCGCTCCGATTCTTCAACCTTCTGCTCTAGCTTCCCAGCCATTTACTTGCTCTCTCCAGAAGGTCTGATGCCTTCGTTTGATCTCGCTCTGATTCTTCAACCTTCTGTTCTAGCTTCCCAGCTGCTGCCTGGTGCTTGCTTTCCAGATCACCAGTCTTATCATTTGCTTGTTTCGCTTCTTTATTAACTTTCTCAGATTCTTCAGTAACTTCTTTGGAATCACGACTATTCTTCAGGAATCTTGTCTGAAGCTCCTTGAGACGGCCCTCAAGCACGATCACTCCCTTCACAGTCTCATTTGCTTTCTGTTGAGCATAATCTGTTTCACTGTCAATCTGAAAAATAAAGAAAAACAAACTATATTTTGTTGTTAAATCTTGAAAAAACTAATGTAGAATTACAAAGTCTTTATATCATCCACATATAAATGGTTCAGCTGACCATGTACTGCCATATCCCATTGCTAAAACACTGACCCCAGAGTTAAAGCATGGCCAGCAGCCCTGTAATATGAGGTTTTAAATCCCCTATTCCCAAACTACAAAGAAGAATGGAGACAGTAAAAGAATTATTATGGATGCATAGCTCAGGTGGTTAGTTGCCGGCTTCTCACCACGGAGGGACAGATCTTCTCCAAGTCCTTCAGTTTTCCAAACACCATCATTCAACCACTGTTCATATATCATCTGGTGGATCAACACATTAAAGGCCCAGTTGCATACAGACCATCACAATAATAAAATAACAGATGCATGAAAATGCAGGTATTTTCTGGATACCCCTTAACTCTGGGTCCCCTGCTCACACTATATGTCTGGGTGTGGATACTCAATATTGTAACACACGACGTGCAAAATAAAATATATACATATATTAATTCATTTCTACTGCAATTAACATTCCATGTACTCCTACAGTACACAGTTTTCTCACAAGAGAACACATTCATTCACAAGGTTTTAACACATTAGACAGAAAAGGCTGACAAAGTTAAATGCCCGGACATATGAAGGCCTCTGAATATCTGTACCTGAGCCAAATCTTTTTCTGCTGCAGAAATATCATCACGAGCTTTCTGAATTGCTTCCTCTGCCTTCATTTGAGCTTCTTGTGCCTCGTCCAAGGCTGACACAACTCTCTGAGCTGTATCGAGGATTCCTTCTGCATCCACTCTGAAAATTTTGTCAGTTTTGTTACCAGCCAAGAAAGAATGTTAAAATGGATTTTAGGACATGTTATGAGGACATAAACTGACTCAGGACAGCATCCAATTGCAGGCTCTTATGCTGACAGTGACAAATATTTAAGATTCATAAGAATCAGGATTTCCCTCAACAGCTTAATAAACAGACTGCACAGAAGATTCTGAATCACATAGCTGGTCTCTAAATTCAATGTGTTTACATAACAAAGCAGTCTCATTGAAATAAGACAAGCTCTGCTCAAAACCCAACGTCATCCACTCCCATATGTAGACATGACAGAAGAGTGAAAGAGCTTATTATTATTCTCGTACATATGAGTATTGCAAGCTATGCATGAAGAAACAAGTTTGGCCTTTCACTACATCTAGGAGCTTACTACATATGCATAAATATATTTATATAACCACTAAAAATTACAAATTACAACAATGACACTGTAATCAGAAATTTCTGAATAAGGAAATCCTTGTATCTAGAAAGGTTGAATCAGAACATCAATTCTGGGTTCCAAAGCCGTTTAATGTTTAATTATTCCTACAAACTTCCAATATGAGCCGGGATAGCTCAGTCAGTATAGTGACTAGCTACGGGCTGGACGACCGGGGTTCGATCCCCGATGGGGGCAGGATTTTTCCTCTAGCCTCTGCGTCCAGACCGGCTCTGGGGCCCACCCAGCCTCCTCTACAATGGGTACCGGGGTCCTTTCCCGGGGGTAAAGCCGGCCGGGGCGTGGTACTGACCACTCACCCCCATCTAGTGCCGAGGTCAAGGATGGGAGGAGCTATACCTCCTCTCCCCCCAAACGCCTACATGGCGTATAGTGGGAAAAACTTTACTTTACTTTACAAACTTCCAATAGAACATGATACCTAGCAAATACTTACTTGGCTTTATCTGCTTGCCTCTTTAAGGAGTTTGCTAAATCCAAGTCATCACTAGTGGCTGCCAGAATTGTGTCAATATCTTTCAGTGATGATATTGTATCATTAATACTGCTTGTCAGATTGGTGATTTGTTCAGGGCGCAGATATATATCCTTGTTAAGAGTCTGATAAAACAAAAATGTACAAAGCACATTTCAACAGGGAATCACTTCTTTCAAATCTCCATACCTCACCGTCTTTCTGTCTTTCCCTTATCGCATTTGTACCTTTATCTCCCTCCCTTAATTTTTCTGTTTTCCCATTTATTTCACTTGGTCATCTTACTGTCATTCTTCCATCTAAACCAAACCATTACAACAGATCAATAATAAAAAATATATAACTATGCTATGTGTTATCTGAATATTTTTTTCCATGAGGTCCATTCTTATTCAGAGTGCAAGCAAACATGGAAATGTGTTTTATATAAAACAGATGCCTGTAGGCTGAATGGATCCCAAAACTGTCGAACCTATTAACTGTGGTTAACAGAAAATCTCCAAAATTCAACCTCTAGCCTTCGCCTTACTAACTACACAACTATGGACATGAGATTTTCACGGCAGTGAGTATGAAGATGGCCGTCTTCTGGGTAAACTTCTACCAGACTATATGGTGCTACAACCCAAAAGACAGCCACCTTAGTACACTACTATGATTCTTAGTGTTCAATTAAAACTCACTTCTAATGCAAGGTTCCTAATTTCAGCTGGGGTGGCACCAGCCATATTGTGGAATTCATCCAGCTTATCAGTGAGATCAGTCCTTTCCAGTATCATGTTCTCTGACTGATTACTAGCCAGCAGAGCTGTGTCATAAGCTTGCTTAGCCAGATTTCTAGCAGTAACTGTCTCCTCCTTTGCTTGGGATATCTAGAACAATTCCAATACCATCTCCAAAATTACAAATTTTCAAAGTTTAGTTAATTTAACAAAATTTACTGATTCCACCAACTGAAACACTGGTTTTTCTGCAGTGAATCAGCATACATGGCCTCTGATGCTATATGATTACAGCTACTCAAAGCATTGTTAAATGAACCACAAAATGCCTTTACCAATTACACGTCTCACAGCCCTGACCTTCTGGAAAAATTCTGAACATTCAGTACATCCCTTATATCAATGACTGATTCAAAAAATACATAACTAGTCATGTGACATCACACTAATGAGCAATATCTAGAATTTCATAGTAGCTGTCCATTCACAGTGAACATTGTTTAAAATCTGATACCATATCAAAACCATTATAATTTGTAACACAAACTATTACATAATACATGCCACTCCCTGTGCCAAAAATATAATGACAAGAAGGAGCCACTGCTACTCAAATACATATATCACAGAATTGACAACAAGCATATACACAAATGGAAGTAATTTGACAACGGATAATTGGTTCATGTCATTTCCATTAGTTAAAATGATGCTCAACCAACATAACCAAACACAGCTGTGCATGAAATAACATTACCCCTCTGAGCAGTTCTTCTGCATCATTCTCCTTGTCCTGAATGGCTTTCTCAGCATCCTTGGCAACACCAAGGGCTCTGTCAGCTTTAGTAACAGCCCCATGTTCACATGACAACCCGCCACAAACTCCACATCCTGCTCCTCCACACAATGGATCGCAAGGGTCTCCTCGTTTGTCACACACCTACAAGGAAAGCACTACATTTCAGAGTGTACTATTAACTTCATGTTAAAACTAAAGGCTCTTATGAATGCTAAACTACCAGCATTTCATATACAGACTTAATTCCAAGAAAACTTTGTATTCTTTTTACTATCTAATGTTATTCTCTACATGGCAGAAATTTTCTTTTCAAGTTATGCCATAATAAAAGTAAAATAGGAGCATCAAACTAACATTTATTGTTCACACATCACAGCTTACATGCTGGCTGTTTCTCACAGTAACATGCCGCTAAGTGTTAACATCAGAGCTAAAGTCAGATAATACAGGGTTTAAATCGCCTATTAAGATTACTGTCTTCCAAAATACCTGATTGCATCCCAGAAGACAGTACTCTTAAAATACACTACCAAGAGATCCTGAAATCTTATCAAATCCCTTATTCCTGTATAACAAATCTGAACAGGTGACACAACTATCAGAATTTTATTTTACATTTTCTCTGGCCACTTATAATGATAAAGCATAACACTTGGAAGATTATAATGCAACAACAATTTTGTTATAAGTACATACGATTAACTAGAAGGACCATAAAAGTCAGACGAGCCCTTTTATGCATACAATTTGGAATGTGGAAGTTTCTTACAGAATCACTCCTTTGGTTCAACCTACCAACTCATTCAGATCTGGAATCTGTGTTTCTAGTTCCTTGAGTTTTTCTGTGAGTGTGTCAACTGCCTCCTCATTTTCTTCCTGACTGTTGTAGAACTGTGTAGCCGTGCGGTTCACTATGGTTTCTGTTCTCTTACACTGTCGCTCAGAGTCAGCTACATCTCTTTCTGTTGCATCTGCTGCTTCTTGAGCTTTCTGGGACCGTTTCTCGGCTTCACGAGTCAGATTTAATGCACCTTTCAACACAGCATAAGAATAATATCACTGCTAAAATCTTGAACTATCATTCTGGTGTATGACTCTGATCTCTCAGTGCACAAATCACTGCATCACAATGAGGAATTTTTGTAGTTTTCTCCCTATGGTGATTCGTTTCGGGTCATTTTCTGTGTCCTAAACCTGCATGAACGCATATCAACTTTGTATAAAAGGTTTTTAAGGTATAAGTTTCCCAATGTTTCAGAGCCCTGATATTGGAGGCAGGAACCTCTGAAACATCAGTCAACTTCTACCAGACTACATGGCACTATAACCCAGAACACAGCCATCTTCATATTTCTCACTGTGAGAACCTCAAATCCTACAATTTCTATGCTTATTTTGTTTCAATCAATGTTTTTTTCATTTAAAAGGCTTATGTGTGCATGTAAGTGTGTCTTTCAAATAATATATTCAATTATTAGTACATTACATCTAACACTTCTCTTTTACTACAAATAGTACACACAGAAATGAAATATTCTAAAGCCTCCATACTGTACTGCAACAACTGTTCATCTGCCAGAATGTGGTGTTGTAATTGAAAGTAACACGGTAGAAACAAATTTTGACTGTGCTTAGAACTCAATGTACTAGCATATTTAAGTCACTGTACATTACTCACCTTCAACATTTGCTTCCTGAAGTTTGGTAGCATTTTCTTTCAAGCCCAAGGCAGTAAACTTCAATTTACTAGCAGCACTTCTGAGATCTGTCAATTTCAAGTTTGCTTCATATATGCGTGATGCAGTGTTATCAAGAAGATTTTCAACTTCATCCAGCTTTTCAGAAGACTTGTTCACATTAGCCCTAAAAATAGACATACAACAAACATGTCATAGTAAGTTCTGTGAACTTACTTTTTACTTAAGTGATGGCCCATCATCAAGTGAGAAAGTTAAAGCCAACAGCTGAAAGACTGGTTAAATATGAACTGACACACAACGTGCAAGTACACAAATATTTTATCCAAGAACATCCACTGCAATTCACATAAATCACACACGCACGCACCATGATACACAAATTAAAGAGGAAGAATCAACCAATCTTTCAGCAAGTGAATACAGAACCCATGTAAGGTGGCCAAATCAACAATTCGAATAAGAAGTGCCAATATCTACAAAAATACATAATTTCTACATGTATTACAGATGAAGTAAAGTTATTTGGCAATTGCACGTTACACAAAGCAGTAAGATTTCAGACACATTAGATAAAAATTGTACTGCATCAAACACAGAAAAAACAGCTAATACAGCAGATAAAAATATGAATGTAATGAGTCATTACATAGCAAATCAACACAAGCATCAAGCACTTCAATTAGTCAGACTGCTTTTTCAGAATACTTGAGCTTGAATGCCAATTTCCCATTCTCTTCATTTAATCCTAAAATAAACAGTCACTTCTGGGGTGTAACGTCTTAGAAAGTAGAATTATAGATTAAAATTTGCAGCCACAATAATCAGTTAAGAACATGGCAATATACAATGCAATAAAACTTAACTAGCTGCTTTTGTTTAGCAGGAATCAAGGTTTCTTTCATACCTAAATTTTTCCACCAGGTTTTCTAGTCTTTCAAGGTCATGTGAGCTAACTGTTGTGTTCTCCAATAACTGTGTCACCTCATTGAGCTGTTTCTCCATCTTTTCAAATTCTCGTCTATAGGCACCAGATGCTCCAGTCTGTTTAATCTCAGATGCTGCGTGAATAACTCTTTCAGTCTGATCTGCAATGAGATAGAAAATAAGCTACATCAAATTTCAAATTTAATGGGTTTTTTGTGTGTTCATGACCTCAGTGTATGCTAGAATATACATTTAAAGAAATTTGATCAGAAAGATGGTTGTCTTCTGGGGTGTGCCATAGTCTCTTGGCTGTATACTAAAACTTTCAGGAACATACTGCCTCCACCTTCAGTCCTAAGGAAGTTAATATACAGCCAAGGGACTACATAGGAAACCTCAAATTTTGCAAATGTTGTGATACAAATTTGTCACTGAAAAAGAGGAAACAGACATAAGAAATTATCACAATGGCTTCCCAGGTGGCATAGCAATTAAAACGGACTTTTAATTTGTACTGATCTATAATGATTTTCTGAATCAGCAGAATTTTTCAAAATAGTCAATTCAGTTTCTGGTGCTATGTGTAAGCACTGTGGAAAGATGATCATGTAATGCTATCGAGTTATGTTTTACGATAAAAAAAGCAGAGTTAAAACTAACAATCCTGAGGACTTTAAATTAAATGTTACTGTTTTGCCAGTCAGGTCATTTACTGGAGAAATTAAAATTATAATTTACTGTGCTATTATAACTTAAACATTTATTTCCTCTCTTTATCACAGGGGCTTTTGCTGCTTTGTATTTGTGTTCTTAATATTTTATCCACAGAGCAGAATTCTAATCAACTGTGACCCACACTAAATAACTTTACCTCTCATTTTTGTATGTGATTTACATTTACTTGAAAAGATAAAAGTGCAGGTGAATAAAAAACCTGGCTTATTATTATTACTGTTGTTGTTACCTTATAAGAAGCTGTGACGTGAACTTACCATGGAGATCATTCAGTATTCTGTCCCAGTTATCAAAGCATTCCCCACAAGGTCTGCAATGGGGCGCAGTCCCAATGTAGCCTCGAGCACATTGATCACACTTCTCCCCTCCAATTCCCACCATACAATTACAACTACCATTGTTCTGATTACATTGCAATGTGGCAGATCCATCAGGGTTGCAGTCGCAAGCTGTTAAGCACAGTAAAAAATACCATTAAAAGGCACAAAGAAAAAGTTTCATGAAATCCACTTAAGATTTGACAAATTGAAAAAGGGGGATAAATGAACTGAATTAAACATTGTATTTATACATTATAAAATTTTATAAACCTGCATGTATTATTTTGTGTGTCTGTGATATAAAGTCTTTTATAACACAAATACTCCAGATTTGACAAATTCTGAAAGATACAGTTTCCGTTAAAGATTCTGAGAATCATTTACAAGTCAGTCGCCACCTTAAGAATCACATTTTCCAACGTGAATTAGATCAGAGTGTCTTCATGAAGCGCAGTGTCAACAATACACATCTCAAAAATTGAATCACACTGAGACTGTAGCACAGTTGAGAAGAAAACTGGATTAATTAATTATTAAATGCAAGAAATGTGAAATTGTTGCACCTGAATTAAGATACTGCTGCAAACTTGTGACATTTAGGTAACCAATATAACAACATTTGTTGACTCACCATGGCATTTTTCAGTTGGATTTCCCCAAAAGTAATCTTGACACTGATTGCACCGACGCCCTCCAAATCCCTGCTTACACTCACATTGCCCATCAAACTGAAAATACAGAGCACAGGGAAACCAACAACTGAACAAAAATTTTATGAAGTTTTAAAGACTCATTACTGTTGTTGTTGATGTGATTGCTCTTAGTGGTGGTGGTGGTGACACCAAGAAAATTGAAAGTTTAGAAAGAAATATTCCTACTTTAATATGCATATGGTATATTATTCTGTTCAGAAATGAAAGTTCTACAGTTAAATGACTGGACGGACTTTTAAAAATAAATTTATGTCTCTATATTTAGTAAACATAGTGACCTTCTGACTTCATACAATTTTAAAACTGACTTCAAGGGAAATAATTTCCATGGCTATTGCTATGATCTTGATGATCCTTAAGAGATCCATTATGACAGTAAATTTGTTTAACCAATTTAGTACATATCTAGTGCACAAAACCATGCATACACAAACACAAATAGAACACAGACATATCATTTCAAAAATCTTATGTTTCTGACTTGTCAACTCACTTGATTACACTGTTCAGCACCAGACCCAACTGGATCACAATCGCAGGCCTCACAGCCCATTCCACTTGCAATTTTCCAATGGTTCTCTTTGCACTGGTCGCAGTTCAAGCCAATCACATTTGGCCTACAAGAGCACTGCCCTGTGTTGCGATCACACGGACCTGCTTCTGCATCCGTCCCCAACAAGTTGCACGTGCACTCTGCAGGCAACAATTCCTTACATGAGAGACCTGAAATTCTCACGATGACAGGAAAAAAGATGCTGTCTTCTGAGCTGTGCTGCGTTCACCGATGATGGAGATGGCTAGCACCTCTCAAATGTTGGTAAACTCCTACAAGACTACATAGTGCAACAAACCACAAGACAGCCATCTTCATAATGTTATGTATTTCGATCAGTTTCACTGTCACAACTAAAACGTAAGAAACATTTTTATTGCTTTTGTGTGCTCCAAGTCCTAGCAGAAATAACATCAAAATCAAGGTATATTACATTTTTGGCCTATCAATGAAAGCTTCAATTATGTTTTCCACAGGCAATAAACATTTTTTGCCTCTCTATGCTTAGGTACAATAAAAAACAATTCCAGCATCTAGTTAATAAATGTACTTTTATCCAATTAAATCCACGCCACACTTAATTGTGCATTATTAAAATGGGACTAATTTCCCCATTCATACAGTTTATTCCAACATTTCAAAGGAGCAATGTCAATGTTTAAGGAGTCACATAAACGTAATTCATTTTCTACTTGCAATTCAAGTTTTCACATTATACATTTTATTTATTTGGTGTAACTGTGTTAAGAAAATAAATATGTGCCCGAAGTAAACAATAAAAATTACATTCTACTGTTTTCAGAATATCAACAGCAGCATACATCAAAACTACTGTTTTCAGAATATCAACAGCAGCAAACATAAAAAAATATGAAGAGGTAAATTAAATGGGCATAATTTCCAGACAAACATTTCCAACCTTTAAAACAGAACTGGTGATTGCAACATTTCATTTTGAACTATATATTATTTTCACATGGTGTCAAATTTCCTGAATCTACAAATGTTGAAAATTACTATAAAAAGGATACAAAAAATGTATACCAGTTTCATAACCCAAATAAATTTAATTTATCGTAGCGTAAGAGTATAGAGGATAAACACACCACATATTCTGAAACGTAAACTTCAGAAAGACATGAACTCATACATTTCACTTTGTTTGCAAGTAAATACTTCCCACTTTGAACTTACCCTTGCATTCCTGATTTACAGCATCTCCATAATATCCAGCTTTGCATATCTGACAGTTAAAGCCCTCCGTGTTGAAGAGGCACTGGAGACATTCACCAGTTCGAATGTCACAGTTACCAGGGCGAGAGACGTCAATATTGTTACTGCAATTGCAGGAACGACAAGATCCACCAGGTCTCTCCGGATTACCAAAGTAGTTGTCGGCACACACGTCACACCGGGGTCCTAAACATTCAGAAACACACTCTATGAAATCAGTCTCACAGTTCTGTAACAAAAAATAATTGGTATTATGACAAAGTTACACTACGATATCAGAATTAAAACATCCGACACTATAACAAAGACCTACTATTCCTACCTGGATCTTACTGGAGTCAATTCAATTTACTTTACAACAATTTATTTATATTTTAATGTAAATCGGTAGTCTGCATCTCGAGTCTTCAAAGCAGTCACTTTACGAAGGAATGTCTCCACCAAAATTCACTGTGCACTTCCTCTTCCCCTACCTCATCCAAATATGCAGCGAATACACTAACACTAGGCAAAAAGCATTAACAACAGAGAACCCCATTATTTAATGTTCTCCATTTCCCATTTATTTAATGTTTATCATACATGAATAGCAGATATAAACTCTTGTACTGTAAAGCTGCCTGCTGGACTTTATAAAATGGGGTTTAATGGTTTAGAAGTATGCAACCGCAAAACATGGCCAGCTGGACCATGTGTGTTATGACACAGCTGATAATGGGTAATCTCCTTTAAGTTCCAATACCCTGAGTTTCTTGGTATTTCTAGATGGCATGATAAAAAGTAACCTTTAAAAAAAATGGAGAAAAATCATCATGATTTAGGATGATGTGAACAGAACAAATATTTTTCAATTGTCTTCATTATACATTATATTCATACACTATGATAAAAAGGTTCCAGAGAGATCACTTACCAGCATAACCAACACTACATTCACACACTACATCCTGTGTGCGAGCATCAAGTGCACAGCGAGTTGCATATGAGTGACCAGATTCGACAGTTTCTGGGCATGGACAAGGGCGGCAGGGTATGTCCACTCCTATGCGCGGATCCCCGTAATAGCCTTCGATACATCTGTACAATGAAAGTCAACAGCATGAGTCAAACTGAACGCAGCTACTATTGTAAATAGTTTCTATGACTCTGAAAAAATCATTGGTATTAAAAATGGCACTGGGGTAGGTTTCCAATGACCAATCAAGGCAGCGCAATTTAGACTTTCTGAAGAACAGGAATGAACGATCTGGCAGAACAAGTGTCTTGCTGTCAAAGGAGAATATGTTCAAAAGTAACATAAATTGCATTACTTGAAATAAATATCTATGGAGTTATTAGTAACTGCATCTTTATTTATTCTACATTGCCAAGATGATAATAATGGCAGAAATCACCTATCACAATGGTGACCAAGCGTTGAATCTCTGCAATTGCTGCAAGCCCCTGTACGAGAGTCGCATACATCCGCGTGGCCATTGCACTCGCAGCGTTGACAATTCGGGAAATTCCAGAAACCAGGCTGACACTGATCACATTCACGACCATATGTATTTGCTCGGCACTTGCACTGTCCTGTCTGCGCATCACAGAAGTTGTCCAGAGCACCAATAGAATTGCAGTCACAAGCTGAAACACACATTTAGCAATGACAACTGCAGAAGATATGAAAAATTAAGAAGGAGAGGGTAATGATGAAGACAGTACACACCTCTGAAATGCTAGTCAATGTCTACAAGATGTTCTTCTTCTGCAAACTTTGGCTTAATAATACACATCGGCTACTCAGTTATCCTGATGCTGACCATCAAATATAAAGATCAAATAAAAAAGCACAACTCTATAAAGCCATTCTGTTCTAAATATTGCAATATTTTGCAAATGCACAGGTTGTTTTCAGACATAACTGAGTGGGAATTAATGCTAACACACAAACATGACAAAATTAATATTTACGAAGAGATGGAAGGAAAAAAGGGGATTCCATTCAGATTGAAAGAAAGTAAATTGTGGCTTCTGGACACTGTTATTGTCTTGTGTACTTCAAAAATTTTGCACATCAAACACAAAACTTTGTTAAAGAACCATTTCCATACCTCTGCATCCTTCAGGACCAAAACCGAAGGTTCCTGGTGCACAACGATCGCACCGTCTCCCTACGACATTTGGTTTACACTGACACACTCCTCCCAAAGAAGTGCAGAGTGCACTGACAGAACCTGTGGGGTCACACTGACAATCTGAAAGAGAAATTATAATTTATTGTTACAACTATCGAACAGTTACAATAATGTAAACATGTTGTTATCCTCAACTGTAAACAATAAACCTTAATCTAAGGAGCTATTTCTTTTCAACACTACTTACAAAATGCTCCTCCATGGACATAAAACCCTATGCTGTAATGGTACTGTTTGCACACATCTGGTATATTTCCCTTTACTACAGAATAGAAAGCTTGACCACATCGATAACGTTCGTATTCTTGACGTCTGATTTCATTTGGTGTAGAGTCTCTGAAGAATGGTACACTCTCAATTCTTGGTACAAGTGCAATCTGGAATGCAATACAATGTATTACATGACAAAAGCCATCATTTTCCTAATACTGTACCTTAAGAGAAAAATCAATCAATTAACAAAATCTTTGGATGGAGTTGGTCCCTGAAACATCAATTTTTAACAAACTGACACAGCTCACAGCTAGAAAATATTTTATTAACGTTAGTCACCATGAAAGCCTTATATCATTCAAAATCAATATTGTACTGTTCTTCTTTTCTGACATTACTCAAAATTTTTCGTAATTAAATATTATATTCCAGCATTGTTTACATATTGTAACATAAATTAAAGAACAGATGGTGTCATGCTTAGAATGTTTTCATTCCACTGCACAATTTCTTTAAAACATTTTTAAGACACATTTTATAACATAAAAGCAAAAATTATAAACAAAAAATAGTACAAAAAAATCTCCATTCAGTATATCAAACTCAAAGTTTGAAGTGATCATTATTCTGCCATACAACTTACAGAGTCAACAAGCACAGAAGCTGTTGGTGTTTCCACTTGACTGTCATATCGCTTAAATTCCAACCTAATTTTGTACTGCTGCCCAGCTTCAAGGCACACTGGAGGAAAAACTGCAACACTGCGGGCTCCTTGAGGCAGAAAAATCCAACATGTAACGCCAAAAAATACCTTAATAATGCACAGTATCACAGACATAATTTCAGCAAACATAATAAAAATGCTTTCAATATTTCAGCTGCAAATAACTACTTCTTCAATATAACACTTCTAAGGCAACTAACCTGCAGGCAGTGAGTCTTGTTTTATGTCATCCTGGGGTAAGGAATTGGCACAAGGACCGTTCCGATCAACTGGACCTGGCCTTTCCACAATAACACGGACATCTTCCCAGTTCGCGGGTGCCTTTAAAAAAGAGAGAGAGAGAGTTAATAAAGAATATGGTACAACTCTGTAAATTATGTGTGATATCAGCTACATCTATATTACTGTTCTTATCTACTAAAGTGCTTGAATGTTATGAAAATGAAAGCAACGTTTGGGTAAAAATTAGTTGTGCACTGTACTGACCCCAGAACTTCTACAGGATTTGATTCTCAGAATTATTTATATTTTGCTGTATTGTTCTTAAAATACATTCATAAGTGGGGGAAAGATTGTGTCCAAATGCATTCTAAACACAATATTGCTGCTGTTCTATAACCATTCTGTTCTAGTCAGCAGACAATTTTTAAAAACCTGCCCCAGTGACTTATGTTCAGATGGGCTACCCTGGGTGTGAACGTGGACCTCAGCAGTATGCAGCCAGCAACTAACAACTTGGCATGGGCAAAATAAGCTCTACCTGAATGATAATAGTTTTACTTACTTGAGGTTCATATCTTATCACAATGTCATACTCCATACTGGTTTTGATGTTGTCTACGATGAATTCCAAGGCTGAGTCCTCAAACGTTCTCATAAATCCAGTGCCTGTCCATGTGTTTTCTCTTCCATCACGGAATGGCTCACGAATTACAACTTGGCAGTTCTAATAAGACAAAAAAATCTGAGGTAAAACAAAAGTAGTTTCAGTGCATACAATCAAAAGTATTATGAAAATGAAATGTCATTACCACAACACATTGCTTGCGAGAAGAGAATAAATTAACTGTGGTTGGCTAACATTTAATAAACAATTACTGTAACAAAATACTTTACTTTATTTCTTGTTTCTGTTTCACTGTACCCTTATATGCCAAAAGTAATTCATTAATATACAGTTCAATGTACAATGCATATCTTTCAAAGAAGTAATATACTTATTTACAAGATAAGTCACAAAAGCAAAAATATTTGATTTTTTAAAACCAAATTTTCTCTTAAATGTAGCTTCAAAGACAACATCAAGCTCCATTTTGAATTATTTCCACCCCTGAAGCACGGTGATTATGTTCATTTCACTACCAGGAGAATCAAGGAAGTATCAATTTGCCAATACTTGGATACTGACAGCCAGATTTTTAAAAGCAGTATATCACGTAGAATAAAATATACAATAAAGAATATTTGTCTCACTAAATCTCAAACAAAATGTCTTATATTAATACAAAATGATTTAAAAATATGAACCATTCACAAATCTTATATGGTGAAGACTGATTTTGTTCAAACCAAGCATACTTTCAATACAGAACAGACAAAGTAACCAAGTCTTAAAAGAATGCACAGAAGTACAATGCAACAAACGGCAAAGACACCCTACAAAACAAAATATGCAAGTTATGGAATCTATTGTAAAGATGTCAAGCATCTCAGAAGTGACTAAGCTCAACACAAAACCTAGGTATTTGTTAGTGAAATGCATGAAACATGGTTAACAAAGCAACCGGATGACCCATGAAGATGTGTTTCTATTTCATGAGAATCACACTAAAACAAAAATACTATAAATGAATTACATTTAAAGAAAATTAAACTAACACAAAGCTAATACTAAACTGTCAACATAAGTGAACCACGTCATAACAAAATGTAAAAATTGAGATCACATTAGTAACCGAACATATGACCCTCAAACTGCACAACTTCGGCTGACAAACCCACTTAGACCTTCATGTATTGGCAGTCATCACAGCCTGATATAGTTTCCAAGTTCCCATTAAAACTCCTTTGTGGTGTGTTTGCAACTACTGCTACTAAATCAGCTAAAGCACAAAATACAGCTACAGTACTATCAGCTGGAAATGTAAAAGCACAATGTAAGCAAGACTCAAATCACAAGTCATTTGCCACTGTAAAAAACAAATGAGTACATATGATATATAATTAAATGCCATTCCTTAACTTATAAACAGCAGAATAGTAACGCATTATTTACAGGAATTAGTTTCCTAATGGCAAGACATAACATTGTAGTTTTAGTATACAACATATTTTTCCAAAGGTAATACAGATTGGAAAAATGTGAAAGTGAAATTAACGTTTAAATATTTTCATTAGTTAAAAATCAATGTTTTGCTATTCAACTTTTAAGAAAATACCAAACATTCAATACAATGCCAACAGAGAACGTTTTAAGTATTTATATAAGGTAGTGAATAACAAAGACTGCCATCTGGTATACCAAGCTATTCCATAGATCAAGAATAGCTCAGTCCACTGGATCCAACAGAGCAGGTTTCTCCTATATCTGAATGCAAAGGAAGATCCACCATTCAAAACTTTGTGATTTTATGTAATTTTAAGAACTCACAAATGTTACTTGACGAGCTGCATTAATCCATGATGATAACAAATGCTTTTGACAGAGGAAATGTTAGAGTTTATGTACCACACAAGTATATCAGCTGAGAGACACTTTCAGAACATTCTGTAAGACCTATTCTCGCTACGCTACAAAATTCAAGTGCAAACAGTATCACCCCACATCTGAGAGTGGTTATCTGGCACTTACTGCACAAACCTCTGACACTTATAAAAGAGACAGTCCATTCTATATTACCTTCATTCACCCAACACCAACATGTATGTTAATGTCTCACCACCACATAAATCATATTTATCATTAATCTTACACTTTGACGAAGATTTAACATGTCCGTGATGCTGCAGTTCTGGAACGAGAACAGAGTATAACCGAAAATCTGAATATCAATTATGTATTCCATACAATGGAAGATGAAAATACAGAAACCATTAGAGTGCAACCTTTGAACCAAATGCAGTATTTAATTCAAGAATCTTCAACACTATCAAATTCTAATATAAAAGTGAGAACATTCTGAAACTCACAAAGAAGGGTTAATAACATAAAACAAGGCTGACGAAACAAGACGTCATAATTTGTATTTTGCAAACATTGGAGTTTTAAAGACATGTTACAAAAAAAAATGAAATGAGTTTTCTCCTTGTATTTTGCAAACATTGGAGTTTTAAAAACATGTTACAAAAAAAAAAATTAAATGAGTTTTCTCCCTCAATTACGTCTTTTACATATCTCCCCCCGCCCACCCCCATGTGAGTTATAACTCAGTATTAAATCTCAAATTTTTGCACAGGACTGGCTCAGAGTCCCATATCGAATCTTTGCTTCCACTTGGAAGAGAAATTATTTTTTTGCCTTAAATGGATCAAATTAGTGATGGAAGATGGAAATTAACACAACAAAGAACTTATGATTTATACTCAAAGACATGAGACACAGCTAACAAAGGCTAATCCCATTATTATGTGCTTACCTCACTACAGTTGGCAAGTTCAGCCTCATATACAAGATAATCCAGTAAGCCAGTGAAGTAGCTCTGTTCTGGCTGATCACACATTCTCCCTGTTACATGCAGACGACACCTACAAATCACATTTACTACAATTTAACCTCTGTACAAGCCCATCAAGACTGACTGAGTGTAAATGTTAAACAATACATTCATTTTGAAAATGATAATTTTATTCTAAATTATACCATGTTACTGACATATCCAAATATCCTTAAACTGTTCCAGTCTATGATATTCAAGATAACAAACTATGAAAGTGATATTTTTTTATGTAGTACGACAAGTTTTTTAATGTAAACACTCAGTAAAATGAGATATAAACAGGTTGAAATTTGGGATATTGCACTGAGTAGTCTGGTAGGTATTCACTGACATTCCAGTGGAGTTCACAGCCTCCAACAGAGGTACCAGAGTGCATGATGCAACAACCCAGAAGCCAGCCAACTTGGTATAAATAAATTCTCTGCATTTAGCACCACGACATGAAAGTATATCAGAGCTGAAGACAGTATTTACAAACCAGCAACTGGGACAGTTTACATAAAATTAGTAAGAATAATATGGCACTCTGGAACCTCACTTCTTCATAAATAAAACAGACATTTTGCTTTCTTCCATAACTTAATGATGACAATTTGCAATAAAACACAATATATTTCATGCACAAATCTTCTGCATCAATGTGGATATATGTACCTGCATTGGCCTGTGATGACATCGCAGTTATTATCAAAGGCGCCGCCCGGATCACAGTCGCAAGCCTTACAGCCATCACGGTCATCTGAGAGACCCCAGTGTTCTGGCAAGCACTGGTTACAATCACGTCCGGTCACGTAACGCTTACATGTGCACTCCCCCGTGTACACATTGCAACCCTGGTTGCCAATAGTGCCCAACGTGTTGCAAGTGCAAGCTGCAAATGTTCGTAGTTAATCATAACCTAACATACGCTGGTAATGCTATAACATGCAAGAGTAAGATACCAACATAAAAACTATTAAATGATGTTATAAGTTCTGTTTCTTCTCCTTACAGTTCTAAACATAAATGCATTGGCATTTTGGTGGATTTTACTTTGAGAACATGATCATCATTTTGTTCTGTAATATCTTTGATGAAGTAGAAGTTGACAATATTGAAATATCACATTAAACAATTTGGAATTTAAATATATACCATTAAAAACATTGCTATTCATGTTGGTCCACTTGCACATGCCTTGGACTTGCTACATAGGTCAGTGTTATTTTTACATGAAATGCAGTATTTTAAGAAGTGCATTACTACAATAATAATAATATTGTATTACATTCCATGGCTCCATAAGACAGTCAGATGGCAATAGGACGTGGAAAAAGTCATAATAATAATACAATACATATTATAAAGTGCAATTCATACTATTATATAAATTTCACATAATACAAACAAAGGATTCACCTAAAGTAATGATAAGTTACAAATAGATCTACCCATTACACACAGAAGAAAATTTATCACTTATTTGTAAACAACATAAATTCATTGACAGGGTAAAAGGAGTGTGTAATTAAGTATCTTTTTAATGCTACCTTAAATTGCTCCTTCTTATTTACAAGACTCGTGAGACTTGATGGTAGACTGTTGAAAATTTTGACATTATAGACAAAGAATTTTATCACAATGAAAACAACATCAACAATATAATGGTGTTATATAAAATTGGAATTTTATATAGTAGTGTATATGTCTGAATAAAGACACTTTAAACCTTTACTGGATGAGAACAGGGAATTTAAATCCCCATATTATGGGGCAGTCCGCTGGACTTAGCTGTGAGGTTAAAGGATAAGCAGTATGCCAGAGAAATGCATAGCTACCTGGATTATGTGTAATCTGCAATGCACAAACAATAAAGATTAATGATGTGAAGTGTGTATCATACCCATAAAATTTTCATTGTTCCAAACCTCCTTTTGGAGTTCAAGAGTTAAAGTGAGATGGTACGTACATTCACAACCTTCAGGATTCTGTCCATCAAAGTTCCAGTACCCATTTTTGCACCTGTCACAGCGACGACCATCAACATTTGCTTTGCAATGACAACGACCAGACTCCAAACTATTTGCCAAATCTGTGCGCGAGTCACACGTTCCATCATCCAGCGAACCACGAGGGTCACAGTCACACGCTGAAATGCACCCACAGAAAGTGATAGAAATTCAATGTGCTCTTCATTAAGATTATATTTATTGCACACACTTAATTAGAACAATATTCATGACTAATTATACACTTTGTAGATGAAATGACATTATGCTGGGGGGGGGGGGGGAATAAAAAATTAAGAGCTTCATAATTTGATTTGTTCAACAAATATCATTGGCATGACAAAATCAAGTACAATGAGATGGGTTTGACATATTGCATCCATGCAGATGAGAAATGCATCTAAAGTTATGGTTGGAAAGCCTGAAGGAAAGAGACCACTCACAAGACCTTGGCATAGATTGAAGGATCGTATCAAGGCAGATTTCTGGGAAACAAAGTTGGATGATGTGGATTGGATTCATGTGGCTCAGGACAGTAAATGGGGGCAGGCTTTTGTAAACACAGTATTTAAGTAAAGCAATTAAATAGAAACTCTGAGAGATTATAAATAATAAGATTTCAGGCCAGTGCTTCAAGTTTCAAGAGGAGTACAACATTACTGATTACATAAAAAGAAATTTAGGAGAAACACTTGAAAACTCCTATCTCAAAGACCCACAAGTCCAAGCAAGACATTGTATGTACATATGCTCTTCACTTCCACACAATTTTTGCCCTCTAATAAAACTCTTATAAAACAAATGCAATAAATTATTTGTTATCATATTAAACCCACTTTTCAAACTTCAAATGATCCGATACATTCAGCTGTAAATGCGGATAACACAACTCACGTTGACAAACTTCTGGGTCTGTTATTTCTCTGTTAGGGTCTTCATAATAGAATGGTTTGCACTGTTCACAGTTCCTGCCCATTGTGTCATGGAGGCAACCATCACACACGCCTCCACTCACTTGGCCTGTCAGCTCATACACTGCTGCATCAAAGTGGCAGCTTGTAGCGTGGCTGTTACAGTTGCATCCTGGAACAAACACAAGTACATCATGTTACAGCATAAAGAAACAGCAATGAAAGTAGTCCTGCATATGATGGCACTGAATTTGGTAAGAAAATGAATCAACCACCCATATTACTGACCAATCATTTAATTAAATACAGATACAACAAAATGATAAATGAGGCAAGCAGCATACGTGAGAAATGCATACAATATTTTGGCTGGCTGAAAAACCTAAAGGTATGAGATCATGTGGCACAGCAAAACCCTGTCTATTCCACGAAGGTAGGTGACGTATTTCAGTTAGTGAGATATTTTGTCACATCATTATAATAAGTTACTAGGTTCTTTTCTCGACATAATCCTAGTATTCTTTTTTGCCAAATAAGGTTATGTTTACAGAGACTGACAAATATTAGCAACTCTTCCCCCCCCCCCCCCCCCCCCACCAGAATATTGACTCCATTTGCATGCATCTAACCATACTGCTCTTACTTTTACAAGCATTTGTCTGTTTTCCAATAGCTGGTTTCCATGGCAGGTCATTGTAGAAGTCCTCACAGTGTTCACAGTTAAGGCCCTTCGTATTGTGCGTGCACTCGCAACGTCCATGAACCATGTCCGTTCGTGGTTCAACACCAGGAAGTGGCAAGCAGCGAGAAGCATGCCCATAGCATGAACATGAACCTCGTACTATCATGTCATTGATTGCGTAGTAGTATTTCTCCTGGAACAGTTGAAGAACAGTAATCCATGAAGATCCACATTAAGATAACGTATGACATCCTTAGAAGCCGAGTGGTAAAAACATTTGACTATTTTAAGCACAGTATTATTAAATACGGTCTAAATAGTACATTAACAGTGTAAGTCTAAATCTTGATCATCAATGACGGTGATGAACGGAAATATGCCTGTCTTCTGGTATGTTGTGCCACGTGGACTGGAAGATACTGACTGATGTTTTAAGTTCTCATCAGTTTGACTCATTTAAAATTGAGGTTCTCAGTACTCATTAACATTTATTTCAATTCAAAAAGCATATATAAATAGTAATAAAAAAAGAATATATAAACAGGTAAACTAAGAAGACCAGTAATGACACCCATACCGAAGTCAGAACATGTAACATCAAATTTCTTCTAGTCTCAGACGTATAAGCAAGATGTTAAAACATTAGTCTGGTAAGATTAAACATTCTCTACTAATCACTAACTTCTTACCTGAATTTCTTCCCTGTTGTCTAGCAAATCATCGCCCAGAGTATGTAATTTTGTGAAGTTAATACGGAGATTTGTCATCTTCAACAGATTCTGCACTTCCTGTGAATATGGGTCATCAATGGGTAGGTTCGGTGGCAACACTCGGAAGATAATCTGCATAAAAGAAAATGCATTGGTAGTTTGTCATCAGCACAACATGCAAAGTTGATACAAGACATTACTAACAGAAAACATGCACCTCAAATTTCTTAATTTATACTGTGCTTTGAATTACCCTTTAAAGCACATAACTCAGCTAACTAATGTTTAAACACTGAGTTCCTCATCAAAGAAAATGCATGCCTCCATTAAAAAATCAAGCTGCTAATGTAATTTAGGAAAATAATCATTGTCTATTTGCGGAATAAAACCCAAAATACACTGTATGGGCAGAATGCAGAATTACTGTGTAATTACGGAAGTGGTATATATAGTTACCACTGTCCTTTAAAGGGTTAATTGACATATTTTAAAAGCTTAATAATTTAAAACAATTTCATACTGTACATATATTAATTTGGAGGCAGGTAGTTTGGCAGTTTCAGATGGAAAGGAGAGGACAGTATCAAATTTAATCTCCAAGAAACAGGATTTAGAGATATGAATTGTAGTGAACTCCCCCAGATAAGAATGTGACAATAGGTTTTTGTCAGAAGTGCTGATTCAGTAAGTTCTCATGCCACAGTGTAGGAAAGTCAGTCACATAATACTATACAACATAGCACCTTTTAAACTTTGTTCATAAAACCATGTAATAGTTAAAGAACATTCATATTTGCAATTATTTTTTAGATATTAAAGTATGAAATGTTCTTACCTCACCATCAGTTGAGGGCGCCACATTTGAATACCTTGACTCACAGACAACATCTGTTAGTGTTCTGGGGTTATGTTTTGGTACATTAGGGTAAGATTCATCACAATTGTAAGCAAAGTATCTGTAAACCTGCAATACAACAAAATGGAAATGTATATTTTTAGAAATACCATGCATAATTCATTTGAGCATAAAAATGTTATATATTCATTCAGTGTGATTATTCTAAAAATTAATCTAAAACTTATGACATTCCAAAAACAATTCCACTGACTGATAAATGAATTATTTCAATTGTGTCTACACTGCTTACCTGCCATGTTGACCCAAAATCGTAAGATCTTTCTATTAACATAGCAGCAGGTCTAAATGTTTTGAAGGTGATTATCAAGTGTGTGAAGTGAAATTCAGCCTCTAGATCTAACTGAATGGTAACATTTTCTACTCCATTCTGAGACTGCCACCAGGATCGTTGTCGAATCCTGTAAATGGATTTCGTAAATTTCAACACATCATTAAAACCCGTTCCTTTAAAATGGCTAACCAAAAGAGAACAGAACATGTGACGTACTTGCATTAAATTTCATTAATTTATTAAGTAAAATCATTGCTACTGTTAGGAACTGTGTGTGCAAAAAACAGCAAAGTATTTGCATGTAATAAACACAACATATGACTGTTAACAACAAATATCAATTTTAGTTCAAAAATTGTTATGCATGACTTAAAAATGTACCTACAAAATTTCAGTCACAACCAAAACAGTTAAATACATGTCAGAATACTGAAGAAAACAATTATGATTACATGTAAATTCACAACCTTGATCATGACATTACCAATTATGAAATTCAACTGACATGCTGTCATAAACTATTTATTCCAACTATACTATAAGACAACTATTTCTTATACATCTACACACCCTGGGGCAAAACGATATACAATGTTTTCTACACGGTGGCTGAGTCGTGGATTGTTTGAATTCTGCGGCCGAGAATCACACCAGAAACACTTCTTGTGGTCTTCTAAATGGGATACAATACAGTATCGTTCCTGTGAAAGAATAAAAGATCTCATTTTATCACTGCTATCAACAGCCAGTCTGTAAAACATAAATGCATGTGGACTATGTCTGGCCTCTGCTAAAACTTTTCAGGGAAAATCTTTAAAAAATCACACAAACTACACTGCAAAAATTATGTGGCAGCATCTGAAAATGGATGCACAGAAGAAGAAGAACACAGCACAACAAATGAGCATACTGTGTGCTTGATGAAGATAAAATATTCATGGAGAAGACAGTTATGAATGCCACTGAGGTGGAAGCTGGCAGCAGCTATTATACTTGGAGAGAAGACAACCCAGTTAATAACATATAATTATCAGACACTTCTTATTCATCATTTTGCTCAATTTGACTGAAACCAAAATTAAGTTCTGTATGATAAATGACTCCAGTTTGGGTGGGTCCTTTGTCATGGTTGCACAGAATGTTCTCAGACTGCTACTGGAGCAGATGGCCTCCAGATAAAGAGTGAAGTGTGAATATATTACAGTAAAAAGCCAACAATGGCTGGTCTTCCAGTTTCCGTGCTAAACACAGCTGACGGTCAGTCAAATACCTTTGTGCCTAACACTATGTGTTAAAAGCAAATCTCCCGCTCTGAAATATGTCAACGGGTCTAACACACTTCAATCAGCAAGCATCCAATGAACCATCATTTTTAATATTAAAATAAAAAGAAACAAAGGTGCTCCATTACAAATTTATTTGTACCTTTGAGCTATACTAACCTGTGCATATAAACCACATGTTGAAGAAGCAGATAGACGAGGCTCTCGACCAATGAGCAGATTCCCTGTTGCTGGATAACACGAGCTCTGCTCACATGGGTGCGGTCGCTGAGGTGTGTGTCCACCTTACAACCAAATAACAATTGCCATATAATACACACGACATGCTCAACTATCACGGTGATTTCAATGAAAGTCATTACCTTCTTTCAAGAACAAATCTGTATATTTATAATGAGGGTACTCCACTTATAAAATCTGTTAATATGTAGATGGAGACTCATGACCATAACATGTTCTGTGTGTGAAATAAAGTGATGATATTATCGCAGAGCATTACTGAAATAAAAAACATTTCTCAGATGCAAGACATTCTCCTTGACCAAAGACAAACAGACAATGCAACTTCCATTACTTCAATATCTACAACTACAACAGTGCTTTAACTAATGCACTTATACCATAAAAAATAACCCCTATAAACTGGAAATTTTGTAGCAGAGTACATTTTGTTCAATTTCTCAGTGGCTAACATCCAGCACTTTGAGGCCAACATGAGGACACATGCCCAGTTACCTTTCTATCAGTTCACAGATTAATTTTAAGTTTTCTATATATCATTTTACTTAATTTCCTACGCATATGTGGGTATGTTAGTAGATGCCAACGTTATGAAGAAACATAATGTCTCCATTTTCAGCTCTGAAAGATGAATACAGCATGCTGGTATCTACCTACATGACCACATGGTGCCACAACCCAGAATGAGAGCACTGACACTGAAATAATAAAAGTTGCACTGTTTATGAGTTACAGGTAATTAAGAATCTATCATAGTTACATGAAGGTATTGAGCATTATATACCACTCCATATCAACATCTTATTAGACATCTCAAAACAAGACTTACTATTATAAACCACCAAACAAAGTTAGTGAACAACAACATTACCACAACACTCACTACTAACTAATGCTTTGATCCCTGGTGGGAATTTGTGTAAGAGTTTATCTTACGACATGAAAAAATGAACACAATTTAATCCTATTAACCAGTGGTAAGGCATAGCAAATTCATCATAAAATTAAGTACATCACATGCTTTAATAATTACCTACATTTTACAGAATGAGGGTTTAATTCTGTAGATTACTCTGCTGAAGATTTCAATCATACATCATAAGTGATCACCTTCTGAAGTGAAATGAGCTTCTAAAGCTTCGCTGATGCCGTACCACTTTGGGTCACACAGTGTGGAAAGTGCTGCAGATATTGAAAGCCACTGTGTCAAAATGAAATTCATTCACTTTCGAACCTTTAGCTTCTCTCATGTACAGTTTCCAACGTTAATGTGAGGAGCAGAACATCTACAGCACTCTCTTCAAAGCAGGCAATAAAAATACACAATATAACAGTGATACCAACATTAAAGGAGAACAGAAATTAGTTTCGGCTGGTTACAAGCAGCAGCCATCCACCAGTTATCCTACTCGAGCAATTAGTAGTGTTATGAACCACACTGTTCATGAATCACTGCAGCACTTGGAAGGGAACAAGGAAATTCCTCCGGTCCTCTATATTGTCCACCATGTTACTCCACTCCCAAGCCATGTTAAACATCTCACGTTGATCCACTCACTGGCACAGCCAGTTACTACCTCCGTGAATCAAGCCGGGGTGCTTGTGCCAATACGCAGCTTGACTCAATGGATGTATGTCACTTTCACTGATTTCTGGCTCCATGTCACCTCTGACAACTGGAGTCCTTTTCTGGTGACCTGACCTCTGTGGAAACATGACCTGATTACGAGCCCCATCGCTTGCAGTACCAGACCAATGCACTACACCATGCCTTCCCTCATCTCTGGCTGTAAAATAACATCCCTTTAACATTCTAATGTGTTGTTAAGAAATATATTTTAAGAAAGATTTGATGTTCTCATAGCAGTAAGTAGGAAGATGTCTGCCTTCTGGGTTGTAGCACCGTGTAGTCCGGTTAACTTCTACCAGACTATATCGCACTACAACCCAGACGGCAGTCATCTTCTATCATATTTTATTTTTGATGCTGACTACTATTTCAACATCAGTGCTGGAAAGTGAGAACAGAAGACTGTATTTTGTACACACAGATCATTAGGAGCATAGCTTATTGTGTTTCATTCAACTGTGTAAACGATACAGAAAAACAGTCCTATATGACTTGAATCATGAATATTATGTAAGCTGAATCCAACCTCTCAGTTATAAACCAATGTAACATGTTATTTTAATATGAACATTTTTTGCCACATACATTATCGCTCCTATGGTATTAGCCTGAAGAAATGGCAGTATAACAAAACTTGACGTTACATTAACATTCAATAACAGCCCAAAGATGGCTGTTAAGGCTGAAACATGTTGTTAATTGGAACTGAGTTGTTGTTATAATTATTTTAACAGTGTATTATGCAATAAAACATTTAGTTGCGTGTGACAGAAACAGTACAGCAAATTTCTCTAAACAACCACTTCTCCCCAATCATTACCTGTTCACTCACCCTAGTCAATGCAAAATAACATCCACAAGTGATACAATGTCATTAAAAGATCTAAAAATTAACCAATCAGCAAAAGCTCTTCTTATTCATTATGCTTCAGGTCAATAAAAATCAATTTATGAATAGCATACATAGTACTAGAAAGTATTAGTGAACACAATGTACAATACTTGTTCTGAATCTGTATGCATTAGTAACACTAAATGCAACCAAATACCTGACACAAAGAAACAACTTTTCACAGAACAAATAGTTTCACCACAACAACAACAACACTGAGTAACAACCACACCCATAATTTTTTTATGTGTATCTGACAGGCATCCGCCAATTCAAATGGGAATTGTAATATAGTGATTTGCATGCACCATGACTGTCTCTGGAAGGTCGTGGAATCATAAACTCACACGTGCCATGGCTATCATGGACACTGTCACAAAACCACCCTACCACTTCCACATTACACACATATCATAATCACTTTCTCCGTACCAGATTGCCATCTTAGAATGCATATTGAAGCATGATGTTTGTGAAAAAAGTACAAAATGCTATTCTGGCATTTCAGAAAGTAAACACTGAAAAGAAAAAAACATATTCGCAATAGGACAGATATGAAAAATTAAGTTCCAGTGAGAATAGACCTCCGAGTTTATTCTGATATTTAACGTCAACATGATAATCTCATACACTGTACAGTCATAAAACTCCCAGATTCGACCTGGACACAGTCACTCTTCAAGGACTGTCCTTTGCCTCAGGCGTCCACGACAGTGAGCAGCAAAAGACTGGCTGCATTTAGGTAAAGTCTGGAAATATTTTGACTGCAGTATTTATAATTGTGATTATGGAACAGAAATAATTAATATTTATGTATGGAATTTCACATGTAGGATGTACAGATATTAACATTAATGCAAAACTTTGTCTAAACTACTTACATCACACATAATTTAAATATAAATATTTTTGCATGCATACAGAGGAATATACTATTACTCCATAATGCCTAGTCCATTTATCAAAGAATATTACTGAAAGCTTCAAAAAAAAAAAGATGCTTCAATGTTTAAATAAAATTTCACGCAAAAAAATATATACAGTTCCTAATTAAAAAAGGATTTCATTACGTGCAGCCTGTATGGGACATAAACAACGGATTTATGATATTCCATGCTACTGCAAACATTTTATGAGACTCCTCCCTTTATTTCTAAATTACACATCTTCCTTTACTATACAGTTCATAATTCTCCTACCTCTTATGGGTGTTACCCGACTTCGGTCACGTTGCGCACTTGTGTACTCTGCAAGAGACAGAAAAATTATAATGAGAGTATTAAATATACACCAACACAAAGATCACTGTCTTCTGTGTTGTAGCTCCATGTAGTCTGGTAGAAGTTTACTAACATTTCAGAGGTCCTTGCTGCCTCCATTATCAGGGCTATGAGTACTCGCCACAGGGAAAACCTTACTTCTCTCAAAAGATGGCAGAGGGTAATATAAAAACATATGTACTGATGAATATCACAGGCACAGATTGTATTAAGTTAGTGATGTGCATGCACAGAGGCTAAAAGCGTCGTCACCACACCACATCACAGCGCAAGACATCGTCCCTTCCTAGGTAACACCATTCCTGCGTAAGGAACGCATTGCTGGAAATGGTAAACAGAGCCTTATAGCTAAAACGGGAATTTTGCTAACACTTAACAGGGTTCCGTCGTGGCGGGAGCCTCGACCATTCAAACTAGGGTCTGTCGCTGTTGATGGGGAGTTATCCCGTCAGGCAACTTGTCCAAAGAATTTGGTTGGTTGGTTCTCTGGGGTTTGAACCCAGAGAGGGAGGGGTCGTTTTGGCACGTGTTACGTTTTCTCTTTGCGGTAGAAACTGAACTTTCACATATTACAATGGCTGTACAAAACTTCCAAATCAATACCCTCAGCTTTCTCTAATACAAAATTCAAAATTCCGTCTTTTCTGCCAATCATCGCACTAACGTCTTCACTCTTACTTTATCCTCAACACAAGGGGGGTCGGGCATTGCCTGGGGACCTTCTAACTATAAGATGCTCTTTCTCCCTCCCTGAAATCGAAGTGTCTCTCACTTCTCCCCCCACCAATTTCCTCTCTCTCTCTCTCTCTCTCTCGGATTTCAAAGGGAAAACTCTCACCAGGTGGCATTTCTTGCTACACGTAATTAACAGTAGTCGATCGCATTACTCGCGTCTGTATGTCGCATAGCAACGGTAACCCTGGATATGACAACTCGCGTTATTCTGCTTCGGCAGCACATGCACAGCATAAAATAAACGCTTTTTTGTAAGGTTGGCCATAAAATGCAAACATCATGAATTTCGTGTACTCATCAGCAGCACGAATAGTTAAAAAAAGGATGAAACATCGTGGCCATGTGGATGGGTATGTGTTTCTGATGATTTTTTTAATCGCCTGATGGATTTTCATGGAACTTGGTCTCAATACCATGCCATGGACCACCACTCCATCTTCTCCATTCACGAAAATACCAACATGACGGCTGCTGGAGGTCATGAGGTGGGAACCGAACTAGTGCCACTTAACATAGGGCCCCAAAAATGGTGAATGGGAGGTCCCTGACAACATTTCAAAATACGACGTGTCTGTATAATGCAAATAACATACACAGCTGTGCATGTGAAATTTGGTATGTAGATAGGTCATAGCATACCTACAAATTTCCAATGGCCGCGGAACTTTTTTTTTAAAAAAAAAACGTTAGCCTCTGCAAATTATGCACAAAGGAAAATGCAAACTGCGGATAACGTGAAACCCAGCGTGAAGATTATTGCTGTGGTGTTAAAATTCTCTCGGAAGCTTGCGCCATTTTCGAAAATTGCGCATCACAAGTCGAAGCGACCAAAATGTCATTCTCTGCGGCAAATGATACAGACATGAAGATGGAAGCCAAAACCTTGCGAAAAGGCAATTCTGCCATCCCTGTAAATGTTGGCAGTATGTTCCTCCACACGACTTCACTGCCTTGAAGAATAACATCTCAAATGTTTTCTTTTCTGGGTGTTTTCAGCTCCGAGAGATTTGAGATTCTCACGGTGACAAAGACGAGGTTTGTAAGACCTCTTTCTGACTCGTGCCTCTGGGGGAATATAAGTCCTATTGGCTCTCAGCTATTTACCATTAACTACGTTTACAGTTTGAACAATAGTAATTACAGTCTGAAATGTATCGGGTGTTTATGGTCCATTTTCTTTCAATAGACGAGGCGTGTCCCACGCCTTCTTGCTTAAAAAAAAGGAAGACAGATGAGACATGATGGGAACTTTGCAATTTCTTAATTGGAGCGCGTAACCTATTACATCATTTCCCTTTTGAACCCAATTCACTTTGTCGCGTATGTCATCGCGGCCTGAATGGGCACTTGAGCACAGATATATTAAGAAAATGTCACTGCTGAGACCGAGGTCGCGGTCGAAGACCTTGGGGTCTACCGAGAACATGTAATTTTTTGGAAACTTTCAACCATGCGGTGGGAAATTATGACCATTGAACCTGGCTCTTTCAAACACAGTGGTAAATTCCTTGCGCTACCTATTTTAACATTCAATAACTCTTTTTTTTTAGGGTCCCGGGTTCGATTCCCGGCGGTGCCCGAATTTATAACTTGTGTTGGGCAAGGCCGTGGTCTAGGCAACACGGAGGTTTCCTCCGGGGGCTTCCCCGGTTTCTCCGTGGCATCCCAACAATTACTCCATTCACACACAGAAGAAGGCAATGGCAAACCACTTCTGGATCATCTGCCAAGAACGTATATGAACAGGTCCCAGACCGAGAAAAGGATGGAAGGATCCTGTTCATATGGACCGGTCGTCAGACAGAACACTAAATAAATAAAAAAAACTATCCATTCTGTCCAGAGTGGAAGCTTATTTTGGCTTTCATTTGAACCTCAGAACAAATAGCAATTACCTTCCTGAACAGCATTACTCCATTAATCGATTTAAAGGAGAAATGTTACGTTTTCTTTGAGGGAAGAAATGGACTGTTAAATATTTAGACGAGCTTCGTGCTTCTTAGGGTCTTTCACATGCTCAAGTCCTTATTAGGGTGACGCGAGTGTGACCCATTTCCAAACACGAAAAAAAATAATAGAAACACGTGTTACTTGCTTTAGTTGAAATTTCAAACGACAGCAAATTTATTTCAGTCGTCTCATAAATCCACAAAAGAGCCTTCTTGTTCCGAATAGTCAAATCTCGACAGATAAGAACGCCGCGTATCTGAAACACTGTACAGCGTCGAATGATAGGATGATTAATGAATGATGGATCGGAAAGGAGATGCACAGAATTGATCGCCGATTGTCCTGGCATTGGCCTGCAAGGACTTCGGTCAGAAGGCCG